CCTTCAATGATGCCACAAGAAGTTGTTTCTCCAAACAAAACCTGGTTGCATGGCATGTCCCAAAAAGATACCTGGGTTTGAAGTGGGATCAAAACGCAGGTCTTTCTTGGGTTTAAGTTTTGGTCCAGTCCAGTGGTCAATGCGAGCCCCAAAAGGAATGTTGGGTCCCTTAAACTTTTCCCCAAAACGCAGCTCCCAAGGAGACAAGATTTCAGGGTGGTCCTGGATGTTGTGTGCCATACACCAATTTCGTGCAGCATAACTCCAATAAGAATGGTGAAGCCCTGCCTGTTCAAGGTTTACTCTAGTCCCTTCAAGTACGGACCTGAGATTCCTCTCGGCGACTGCGTTCGACTTAGAGACACAAGCAACACTAGTGTTCTGTCTCCATCCAACTTCCCGACAAGCGAGCTTGATGGATGGTGCTGCATCGGAATAAAACACTCCGACTTCTTCCCCAGGTGCAATAAAATGTCTAAAAGCTAAAACACAATCTTTGGCATGACTTCTCGCTGAAGGATAAATCCAACGAAAATTCGTAGCGACATCTTTCATGACCATAGCAACCCTGTCACCATCAATAGATTGTTCGTTGGCGTCCCTAGTCACAAGATGATCCCCAGTGATGTGATCCCCAAACTTGTTGGATTCCACGGTCAAAGACTCCCCTTTACTACGTTTGGTTGGTTTGTACATCTTTGCACATTTGCATGTTTCGCAAAAGGGGTTCTTTGGGGTGTGTGTCATCATGTGCCTAAGGGTCCTGGCCTCTTCTCGAAGTGCAGCTTCACCACGATCGATGGGTTGAGGTTCAGGCAATTGGAGTCGACCGTCAACCGGTTCTTCGGGAGCTTCGGCTTCCTCTTCCGAACCCTCAACAACGTCGGGCGTCATGGCTGCTGGAGGTCCCGGTGCTAGTTCACCAGGAAAGAACTCCTCGAGACTATCGTCACCACGTCCAAGGATTTCATCGTCATCTGCGATGGAAGCTTCATAAGGTTCTTCAACCTCTTCGACTTCGTCCTCGGACTCAGTGCCGACAGCTGACATGCGAGACCTTCGAACAGGTGAGATGATAGGCTTGCCGTTTCCGGCAGCGGAGTTCCACGAAAACGGAATTCCTACTGCAGCGGGTACCTGGCCATCTCTGGATGGTAAATAAGGAACAAAATCCTTGACTTCAAGTTTGATCTTTGTTCCGTCTTTCTTCTTGAAATATGGGCGACTAAAGCTTTTCCAAACAAAATCCCATCCATCTTGAATACATCTCATCCCTACCGATATTACAGCCGGGGTATCAGGAAGAACATATGGATGAACTTCTTTGTCGATGCAATCAATATGAACAGAAGCTTGTTGATCAGCTGATTGGGAACCATTTGCAGTGATTAATTCAAGGGGTTCATGAAAGTGATACACAATGTCATCGGGAATCATCTTGCTGCAAACTAAGTCCTGTGCACTACCGGTGTCGGCGATCCATGCAATCTCGGCAGATGCATTACGCTGCTGAGATGGCATGTGTCCTGGCAATGCATTCAAATCGGAACGGATGCAGTGGCGACAGCCGATATCACTGTCACATTCAAAGCTGCATTTGCAAAGCTTACCATGCAACTCCCGAAAGACAGCTGATTGCAACATCTGTGCTGCAAGTATTGCATCACTTTCTCGTGCTTCGATCGTATCTTTACGAGTATGATCGTCCTTGGTGATGCGAACCGGATTGAAAGTTCGTTGTTTGGCTTGGCACGGGTGCAAATTACAATTTTGCTCAATGGGAACTTCGAAGATTTCATCGCTGCCCCCAAATGAGACAGTGCGATTGGGTGTAACTGGCATGGCAAAATGCTGGCTGAAACAAGCGGAGAGGCGATGCCTTCCGGCACGCGATGAGTGCTGGTCGAAGGGTTGACGACTGCGACCATCATCAGAGCGCGCATCAGGCAAACTGCAGCTGAGCCAGAGGAAGATGGTTTTCCCCCTTTGTCCTTGAGACTCTGTGAGCCCTTCGAGGAATTGGAACCTCGACTTGACGATCTGGAGCGATCGCCCTTCTTTTTGTTCTTCTTCTTCTTTTTCTGGCTCTTTCCACGCTTGTCATCTTTAGTAGATGCAGCTGCAGGCTTCGGTGGGTGTTGGAAAGCACAGTCATTACCTCGTTGACACTTACCTGCCTTCCAAAACTTGCAAACTTGGTTCCTAGATCCTGGAGACAAAGACCGACTAGTGCCTCTTGACTTGGACCTGGACTTGCCTTTCTTACCTCCGCCTTTTCCTTTGTCTGACTTTTCATGTTTATATCGGCAATCCTTTCCCCTGGTACACTTGCCAGCCTGGAAGTCATAGCAAATGCCAGTGGGCTTTCCCGCAGATGGCGGTCGAGTGGGAGCTGGCGTAGCGTCTCTTTTGCCAGAAACAGACTTCTTGGTAGCCTGGCGCATCTTCTCAAGACGTCTTCTCTCAAGGTAATCCCTTGCAGCTTTCATGAGAAAATCATAAGAGCGGTTGGGTTCCCCCTCCGGTGTGCGATCGTACACAGCCAGATCATGAGAGAGAGGCTTGAAATTCTTGATGGCATTGTGAAAGTATGCTTGCTTCCACATCATGTCAGGCTCGGAAGTCATTCCAGCGATCACAGCGTCCCATCGGGTGATGAAACCTCTGAGATCATCATTGACTAAGGTAACAGCCATGAGGTCCTCGATGTCGTATACTGCACCATGTTTCCTACTTGTGCTGAAATGCTTATGAATCATGAGCAGTGCTTGACGTCCTCTAGCTGGTGTCCCTGACTTGGCTTGTTCTTCCTTAAAGATGTCAAGTTGCCGTGCAAAGTCCCCTTCGCAGATGTTAGTGAGCGAAGACATGAGCTTTGCGTCAAGGGTCGCGAATTTGCCTGAGTCCTTCAAAGCATCAACAGACTGGTCTGTCCTGAAAACTTCTTCAACCCACTGAAAAGCTAGGTCGGGTTTGGCAGAAGCCGCAATTATGGCATCCCTGACTCGGATTCTCCAATTCCTATAATTTTCGGGTTGAGGGAACTTAGGAACTAGGATCCTATCAGACTCTTTGGCCTTATGATCAGTAGTCCTAGAACGCTCTAAGGCCCTCTTGACCTTTCGTGCAAAGGAACTCTCAGAATCCGAACTGGACGTGGTAGGGGATGAAGATGAAGAAGGTGACGGTGAAGGATCTCTACGATGTCGTCGTCTTGATCTGCCACGACTGGTCTTGCGATCTTTCTTCTTGTCGGCCTTCTTGTTCTTGTGATTTCTTTTGTCATTGAAGTCATCGTCCTCGTCGTCATCTCCCGGAGGTCCACCACCAGGAAGTCCTGGCGGCTTCGAAGGTTCTGCCAGGAAATGCTCATCATCTGCATCAGATGAATGCTGAGGCTTCTTGCTTCCCGATGCCAACTCCTCAATGATAGGACTTGTAGGTTTCGAGGCTTGTGGAACGGGTCTTCCGGGTCCATAATGAATCATGAGTCCAGGAGTTCCCTCCAGAGGTTGAGACTTCAGGTTCCGAATGAGCTCTTTCTGCTCCTTTCGAAGTTTCTCAATCTCTTCCTCGAAATCCTTCTTTTGAGACTCGGCCAGCTTCTGCATGTTCAAAGCATGTTGATTCATTGCATCAATCTGAGTGCGATACTCAGCAAGTTCCGAACGGGCCGCCTGCAGATCAGCGTTGGACTTCTCCGCAGACGATGTCAAGATACTTGCACTGTTGACTACATGGGTCAGTTCGGCACTCAGTTCCCTGATGCGATGATCCTGCGCGCTGACTTGCAGTTGAGCAGATTTCTGCTCGCTCATCGCTTGGGCGGCTTGCTCGTTCAACAAAAGGTTCTTCCTGGAAATTTCGTCGGCTGCCTGCTGTTCAATGCTTGCAAGTTGATCTCGAGCTTCACTCACAAGCTCCATTCGTTGACGTTCCATGACCTCAGAGTGACGTACGTTTGCCTCACTCTGCAATGCCTGCTGTTGAGCAGCCATAAGTTGATTCGCCAGGTTTGGATCAAGACCTTGTTGTACCACTGCCACGTGGGCGGTACGTTGATCAACACTATTGAAATTGATGGTGTTGAGTTGGCTGATGTCAATGTTTGAATCCAAGACACCTGGCATATTCCTGCGTGGATCTTGACGGCATGGGTCAAACTCTTCATCCAGGTAACTCATATCCCCTTCAGTTGTAGCCGCGCCTGAGTGGATCACCACCTCCTCCGGTTGCGTGACATTCGTCAAAGTCAAAGCAGCCGAGGCGTTCCCACCCGGGGCAGGAAGCGCTGGGGGTGTAGACATGGCGAAAGTCAGAGGAGAACGAAAAGTGTGAAACAAAGGAAACCAGCGATCGCTTGGCGATACGGCTGATAACCTGTAGAAACGGTTAACTAGCCACTACCAACCACCAAATAACAACCTGCAATACGCACTATTTCTTGAGCCACAGCATACAACAAGTAGAGGTGAAAACACACTAGGACTGTGCAACAACACGTTTCAAATAGAGGTTGGTGGATGAGGCTCACCCCTACTTGACACATATCATTCTTTAATTTAATGCTCACTCAAAACACATTGTGGGATGAAATATGATAACATGACCAACATGACAACAAGTCCATCCAGCTGCCTTTGTTCACACTCGTTGGGGAATATTTTTCCAATGGTGGTGGTCGCCAAGAACTATGGAGTTGGGTGTGGTGGGTATCCGAGAGGACGTCATTTCAATTCTTTGTATTGGTTTCTTTATTTGGAATATTTGACGTGCTTCACGCAAGAGTAAAGCAGGCGCAGGAAGAATGCAATTGGGGTTCTACCCCTAATGGGGATATACCGGGTATACCCGGTATATCCATTGATAAACCCAAGTGCATCATTGCATTGGCATGCATTGGCCACATTATCGCCCTTTTCCAGGAAAAAAAATTGAAAGGATTTGAATTTGCCATTCCGAGGGTTGCTTGTTTGGTGCGGCTTGCAAAGCCAGTTCAGGTCGCTCTTGATTCTGTGGTCGCCGCAGTACTTCCAGAGGCTCGCCTGCTTCTTCCTCCTTTGGTTGGTCCAGATTTCTTAGTTGTCTGGACCGTGCGGATTGACTCGCACCCACCACCTATTTTTCCTTGTCGTTTCACCTGCATTTCACTTGATCTACTAAGTTCGATATCAGTGTATTCTTTGCCAAGTGCGTAGAGTTCAAGATAGTCGAACTGGCAGTCTATGAACTTGTCGCCCTCATATATGTCATAGGCAAGAGATGGCAAGAGCCTAGTTTTTGTCAAATTAGCAGAGGGTAAATGTTGATGATCAGAGTATGCACAGTCCTTAGTAGCTGTGCCTAGATCTGCAGTGGAGTGTCACTTCAGAGGCTTTGGTGCACGTTTGAGCTGGTTTCATTTCTTCGAGAGCAGGATGTAGGCAGGGTTTGGTGCAATTTTTCTTGCGCAGAAATCGCAAGAACCTGCAAGGGATGACAGACACATTGAGACAGCAGAGCCAGAAAGGGAGAGAGGGAAAGAGGGGGAGAGAGGGAGAGAGAGGAGGAGACATCGTTTTCCCATCATGTCAATGAAAGTTTCTGCCGGCGAAGTTTCCTAGATCAGACACACCAGGTGTACGGATCATGCCTGTGAAGATGGTGGTGCTGCTGGTGCACTTGAACTTGACGTGGCAGCTCTGTCGGGTGACATTGAAAATTCTAAACTCTGCTTCGGCTGTTCAAGACAACATTAGAGAGGTGACCTCATTCTTCCTGGTCCTGACCATTTTGGGGGCAGTGGTTTTGCCAGTATACCACTGGCTGGGTCTTTGGATGATGACTGACATCCAACGCTTGCCACAGCAACTCCATACCTTCAAGATTCAAGATTCCAAGTGACTCGGCGGTCATGAGACAACATCAAGACAGTTGTGCCAAATCCATCCAAATCCACGTTTGATCAAGTTTCAGGATTTTCAGGGCATTGTTCTGAGGTGCACATGCTGCAGCATTGATCACAAGGATCCGCAGACTGGTGAGCCGATTGCTTGCGACCGGAAACTCGTTGCTTTGCTTCGCCTAAGATGGATTGCCGTGGTTGTCTCCGAGACCTGCCTAGGTAAAAGCCATGAGGGTTTTTCCCGAATGCGTAGCAAGGGTTTCCGTTTCACTCTGGGGGTCTGGGGGTTGAGGGTGTGTTCGCTCGACGTTGCGTCCGCGTCCGCAACCGTTCGCAACCGTCCGCAACCGTTCGTACGAACTCCGTATGGCCGTGCCTATGGGAAGTTCTGCAGAGGTGGAGGTTTCAGACGTGTCGTTGCTTCGTTTCGCGTGGCAGGCGTGGCACTTCGTGACATTCAGACGTGTTCTGCAACGTGTCGAAAGTCGTTTTGCGTGGCAGGCGCAATACTTTTGTGACGTTTTCAGAAGATGTGTTGCAGTTTTCGTGGCAGGCGCATCACTTTGGACGTGTCCATCGTCATTTTTCGTGGCAGGAGCAGCACCTTAGACGTGTCGTGCTGCGTGTTTTTTGCAAATTGCATTGGCAGGGCTGCGTCAAGTGGCGACAAGGTGCAAATTCCGTGGCAGGCGTGGCATTTTGTGCGATGTGCTGAAAATTGACGGAAGCCTCGCACGAAACATCGATTTTGAGGTTGCAAATTTTCAGGTTCTAAGGAAAACTCGTAGGAAAACGTCGATTTTGCAGCTACAAAGTGTGAAAATTGCAGGAAGTCTCGCACGAAATGCTCGTTTTGGTGTTCCCACCTGTCTCGTCTCGCGTCTCTGGTTTTCCCGTGGCCTCGCCGTGTCTATGGGGGAAGCTGCAAAACTTGTCCTTTTGTCATGTTGCCAGCTGTGAAAATTGGAGGAAGTTTCGTACGAAATGATCGTTTTGGTGCTCCCACGTCTCTCGCCTCGAGTCTCTGGTTTTCCTGTGGCTTCGCCGTGTCTATGGGGGAAGCCGCAAAACCCCTCCTTTTCAAAGGTTTCCAAGGAAGTTGTCATGTCGTTTTGCGTGGCAGGCGTGGCACTTTGTGACATTCCAACCTGTTTGATAATGTGTCAAAAATGTCAAAATTGGAGGAATTCTCGTACGAAATGCTGGTTTTTCTGCATCCACGTGTCTTGTCTCGAGTCGCTGGTTTTCCTGTGGCGTCGCCGTGTCTATGGGGGAAGCTGGAAAACATGTCCTTTTCGAATGTTTCCAAGCAGGTTGTCATGTCGTTTTGCGTGGCAGGCGTGACACTTTGTGACATTCCAACCTGTTTGATAACGTGTGGAAAATATCAAAATTGGAGGAAGTCTCGCACGAAATGCTCGTTTTTTTGCACCCACGTGTCTCGTCTTGAGTCTCTGGTTTTCCTGTGGTGTCGCCGTGTCTATGGGGGAAGCTCCGCACTCCACACTCTACACTTTACACACACTCCACAATTTACACTTTAGACCCCACACTCTACACTTTACACTCCACCCTTTACACTTTGCACTTTAGACTCCTCACTCCTCACCTGAGACTTTACACTCCACACTCCACACCTTACACTACACTCTACACTTTCCACTCCTCACTCCTCACTCTACACTTTACACTCCACACTCCACACTCTACACTTTACACTCCACACTCCACACTTTACACTACACACTCCTTACTTTACACTCCACACTTCACACTCCACACTTTCCACTCCACACTCCACACTCCATACTTTACACTCCTCACTCCACACTTTACACTCCTCACTCCTCACCTGAGACTTTACACTCCACACTCCACACTTTAAATCACACTCTAGACTTTCCACTCCTCACTCCTCACTCTACACTTTACACTCCACACTCCACACTCTACACTTTACACTCCACACTCCACGCTTTACACCACACACTCCTTACTTTACACTCCACACTTCACACTCCACACTTTCCACTCCACACTCCACACTCTACACTTTACACTCTACACTCCACACTTTACATTTTACACTCCACGCTCTACACACCACACTCTACACTTTCCACTCCACATTTCGCACTCCAGACTTTACACTCCACACTTTACACTTTACACTTTACACTCCTCACTCCACACTCTACACTCCACACTCCCCACTTTACACACCACACTCCACACTCTACACTTTCCATTCCACACTCCGCACTCCACACTCCACACTTTACTGTGCACTCCACACTCCACACTTTATACTTTACACTCCTCACTCCACACTCCACACTTTGCACTCCTCACTTTACACTCCACACTCCACACTCTACACACCACACTCTACACTTTCCACTCCAGACTCCACACTCTACACTTTACGCTCCACACTCCACACTTTACACTTCACACTTTACACTCCACACTCCACACTTTACACTCCTCACTCCACACTCCACACTTTACACCCCACACTCCACACTTTACACTCCTCGCTCCACACTCCACACTTTGCACTCCCCACTCCACACTTTACACTCCTCGCTCCACACTCCACACTTTACACTCCTCACTCCACACTTTACACTCCTCGCTCCACACTCCACACTTTACACTCCTCACTCCACACTCCACACTTTACACTCCACACTTCACACTCCACACTTTCCACTCCACACTCCACACTCCACACTTTATACTCCACACTCCACACTTTACACTCCTCACCCCACACTTTACACTCCACACTTTACACTCCACACTCCACACTTTTCCACACTTTCCACTCCACTCTACGCTTTACACTCTACACTATACACTCTACACTCCACACTTTACACTTTACACTCCACGCTTTCCACTTTACACTCCTCACTCCACACTTTACACTCCACACTTTACACTCCACACTCCACACTCTACACTTTACACTCCATACTCCACACTCTACACTTTATACTCCGCAGTCTACACTTTACACACTCTACACTCCCCACTTCACACTTTACACTCCACACTCCTTACTTCACACTCCACACTCTACACTTTCCACCCCACACTGCAGACTGGTAACAAGGGAAACATGTACAAGACTGTTCAAATATAAACTATTGCAGAAAGGTATTGTGCGTGACTCTATAACCATGTGTTTTGACATCTGTACCATTAACATACGTGTGAGCATTCGGGTTTGTGGGCTTCATTTTTTTTCATGGGAGGGGACTGTTGTGGCCGCCTCTTTTTTAACTATTGTTGTCAAGTTTTTAATTAACCATGAGCTATTTCACTGGGAAACCTACACAAAAAAGTCATGAATAACTCTTGAACCATTGTTTAGCCAAATGTCTTGCAATTTTATTTGGTAAGTTCCAGGCAGTCTTGACAAATGTCATGGGACACATATGAAATTATTTCGTGAGAAACATTATTTGCAGCCTTTACCAAGTTTTGAAAAGGATCTGAAACTTTAGCAGCAATGGCCCTCAGGTTCATTTCATCAAAGTATCTTTGGTTCAGTTAGTGGTCTGCCTAAAAGGTCTTGCATGTGTATATATACTGTTTCTTTCTAAGTTGTCATCCTTGAAAATCACAAATTTTCTTGCAGCAGCAGTTCAAAATCTCAAGCTTTCAGCTTTCCAGGCATGTCAAAATCATTCAAAATCTGTAGATTTTTGGTATGCAGTTTATATGCAGTTTATATGTAGTTTATATGCAGTTTATATGCAGTTTTCAAAACTGCATATAAACTACATGTAGTTTGGTCAAAACTGCATATAAACTACATGTAGTTTTGAAACTGCATATAAACTGCATATAAACTGCATATAAACTTCATATAAATTTTATATGAAAATTCAAGGGCTGACATGTGGTTTTTAAGGATTTTGATTATACATTTGGACTTGATTCCACTGATTCCCAAACCTTTGGACACCAATATGGACATATAAAATTCATAGTGTGATGCAATCAAAACTGGCAATGCCAGCAACTTGTTTCCTTTCCCAAAACTTTGAAACAATTGCAAGTGCAAAGGCCCAGTGCACTTGTTTACAAAAATGATTTGAAGAATCATAAAAGGTTATTTCTGTTCACAAGTAAGTAAGCATCTCTAAAGATCCAAGATCATCATATGTAAATCTCAAGTAAAGAGGTTTCAAGGAACCATAAAAGATTCTTTTGGCTCACAAGGAAACATCTGTACAGGCCCAGGATCATCCCCTACACATGTAAATCTCAAGTAAAGATGCTCTAATATACCACAAAAATCCAAGAACATCACATGTAAATCTCAAGTAAGGATGTTTTAGGCAGGACAATACAAGTTTCTGTTTGTGTTCACAAGTAAACATCTGTACAGGTCCAAGAACATCACATGTAAATCTCAAGTCAAGAGGTTTTAAACCAAACAATAAACTTCTTTGTATTCACAAGTAAGCATTTGTACAGATCCAAGAGCATCACATGTAAATCTCAAGTAAGAATCTTTGGAGGAAACTGTCAGTGAACATATAGAGATTGAAGTGCTAGCTACTATTGGAAAAATGTATATGGAAAATCCAAAACTGTTTCAAGTATCCCCAGGTTTTTGCCTGCAACAAAGAAGCATGTTTCAAATGTTATGGATGCTTGGTCCCAAAATGGTAAAAAGACAATGATATGATCTTTACATGAACCTGCGCCTGGCATAAAGTACTCAGGCTTTGTTTGGAGGTCACTTGATGGATCCTTAATTGAAGAAACTTCTATGTGCCAATCTTTACTTGTGGATTCAAACAATATGGTATATATTTGATGGATCCTTACTTGAGGAAACTTCCATGTGCTAATGCTTACTTGTGGATTCAAACGACATGGCCTATATTTGATGGATGAGCAGGGAATATAGAAAATTAGCTAACCACATGTTGGAAATTAGTAGTTAAATAGATCTGATGATCTTAGATTAACTTGCTTCAGTAGTCCAGACACAGAGAGAGCGGCGCTAAAAGCCAATAAAGGCAGATGACCAGAGAATATAGAAAATTAGCCAACCACATGCCATAGCTTCAGGAGTCCAGACACAGAGAGAGCGACGCTAAAAGCCAATAAAGGCAGATGACTAGGGAATATAGAAAATTAGCCAACC